GGGGGGGGGAAATCCCTCGGGCTTTTTTCCAAACCTCACTAGCTACCTGGCCCATGAAAGAAAAATAGCCACTGGGGCTTTTTGGCCTCCTAAGGCAACCAAGTTTTGGCTGAGACTAGTCAACGATCCTAACACAGTCTACAGAAAATGTTCCTCCATCTCAGACCTCATGTGAAGCTATCCTTGTGAGCTCCAGCATAGTGCTCCCAGTCCCTAGAAAGCATCATATTTTTCAAATCTAATTCCTTACAGATATACCCTTAGAGTTTTATCAAATTGTGGGACACTGTTGAAGTCAATACAGTAGAAAAGCTTTGTAAGTGATGTATTAACCTTGGCACTCCATGCATAGATGCTAACATACTATAAAACATGTAGCAAATTCCTAAGAGGTAGCAGACTGTAGTCTTGATCTTATCCTTCTAAAGACTTAAAAACTCTCTTGCCTTCTCTTTCTTTCCTTTCCTGTTTTCCATGCACTCAAACTGAGAAACACTTTCTACACTCAGTGTACATGGATACACCTAACATTCACAGAAGAAACTGCAACACTTCAAGATAGCGGCCCCCTCAGGCATTTATTAAATATCCTCTAAAGGATTTTATGAACTACTCAGCTTTTCATCGTCTTAAAGGCAAATTCAGCTAGTTTAGTTTAAACAGCTTCATCTGTGATTTAAATCACACTGACAACTTTGCATTAAGCCAGATAAATATCAAATGGTTCATTTTATCAGTCTCCTGTAAGAATTATTCCTAGATGAAAGGCAGTAATTTCTTAAATCCCTTCACAAATTCTTAGGACATCTATCTATGGCTTATAAGAAACCATCAGGCTCAACAGCCCTCCACTATTTTCAGATATCATTCTTTGACTAGCATTTGTGGGTAATAATAACTAATCATTTATACACCTTGTATCTTTGTCTTATTTTGACATAAAACCAAGTGACTGCTACAATACAATATAGACACTACAGCATAAAATGTGCTTCAGCAACGATTTCTGAATATGGGCAGCAATGAACTGAACTAGCCAACTACTGGTAATGCACTGGTGTTTGAAAGTCTCTTATCCCTCAGTCACAGAACAATGGACCTCAAATCAAGAGCAAGGGGGGAAAAACAGCCAAGAAATCAACTACACTTTTACATACTGCACTGATGTTATGGAAAAGGGAGAGATGAAGGAAAAAAGATCTGATATAAATCCTTCTAAGATCCTGCCTCTAATACCTATTTCTGTATAATTACAATCCTTTAATAAAATTAAAAAAAAAAAAGGAATATATATTCTTTCTAAGCTTTTCAAACTTTAAAACTAACAGGTTTCTCTCTTGTGAAAATCTGTCAATTCATTACAAAAACATAAGTTAACAATTTTCACCAGAGGATGGCAGCCTAGTGTTAGCAATAGAA